CCCCCTGCCCTGGCCTCTCATGCGGAGGGGAGCTGGAGGGCCAGCCGGCCAGCCCCGCAGAAGCCCCCTCCCTGGAGGAATCCTGCCCTGGAGAGCGGCAAGAGGTCCTCCTCCTTCCGGCATCTTCCAGTCCCAGGAAAAGGCGGCTTTTGTCCCTGAAGGAAGGGCGGAAGCACTCCTGGGGCCTGGTCCTCAGCCACCTACAATCCAGAAGGAGGCTCAGGAGGCAAAATGGCCCTCTTCCCCCCCCCCATGCTGACCCCACAGCCTTACCCCTGGAGAGTGTGCAGACCCAGGGCAATGCAGCAGGCAGAGTGTCAGGCCAGGAACCCCAAGACCTGGGTTCAAACCCCCATCAGGGGTCTCAAATACCCTCTCAGGGGCCCCATCATGATGCCTTGCAAGTAACAGAATTACCTCTAAATAGTTACTTTTTTCGAGTAACAAGGGAACAACCTAGTTACACTTCAAAAGTAATGCAAGGAGCAAGAACCAAATTGCTTTATTTGTGCTAAGGAGTAACACCGTCATCTTCAGATGTAACTCCTAAAAAGGGCATTGACAGGAATTTTGACAAGGTTTTTGCAAAACAGGTTTGAAAAAAACGAAAGCCTGGGAAAGGACGTGCGGCAGAGCAAGGGGCGCTGGCAGTCGTTCTCCCTCTGTGTTTAACAAGAACCAGCCCCACGACAAGCAGGAACGGGAAGGGGTTTCTTTTAAGGGCAAAACCTCCTAGTTCTGCCCATGATCCGCCACCAGCCACCAGCATGGAGAGGCTGACGGGAACCTCAACAAGGTCATAGGCAGCCCTGCCCTCGCCCGAGCTCTTCCCACCTGTTGGCGAGGAAACCAGCGCTTCCATGTTGTTCTAGAGGCTGCTGCACCAGACGGGCCTCGCTCTGCCAGGGCAGAGCCCGCCCACCCGTTAGCCCAGCTTGAGGCCAGTGAAGAAGAAGACCCTTTGGGAACTGGGGCGGGAATCGAAGTAAAGGAGTCCACGGGAGCCTTACATTTATTTGGAAGGCCAACATATATTTGTACAACTTTAAATACAGCAGCCAGCCGAGCTATTCGCATGGGGGCAGCGAGGTTGCACACGGGCTTCCTTGCCAACGCCGTCTTCCTGCGTGCGCCACCCAGGCCCTCTGAGCAGAACAGAACCACCTGTGGAAAGCAGGGGTGGGAAGGAAGGAAGGGGTTCGCAAGTTAGAAGCTGCAGGAGACCACCCCGAAACAAGGCCGCCCGGGGAGCCTGAGCAAACAGGGACTCCCCAGAGGTGCTTGGGGGCGGGGGGGGGCTCGTGAAAGCACTCCACTCCGTTGACCCAAGTTCCTAGGATTGTGCGGGCTGGCTGTGCCTCCTGCTTTACTGGGAACAGCGTGCTGGTTCCAGAACTGTCTCTCCACGGCTGACAGTCGCTTGTCCTTCACCAGATGAGATCCAGATGGCTGAGAGAGAAGGGGAGCGTTCCCCAAGCGTCAGCCTAATCCCCTCCCTGAAGGCAAGGGAGGGGATTCATTCCAGGCTGCCTTCCAGGCAAGTACGCCAACCCAAGCTACCTACAGCGGGAAAAGCACTGCAGCGGAGGCTCCCCTTAGGCCCCAACAGGAGTCAAATCCAGCCACTAAGGAAGCTTTAGGCGCGATTACTCAGCACGCAATTTTCAATGGGTGAGAACCAGATCTCTCTGTAGCAACAAAAGCCCCACCAAGAAAACCAAGGCTTCTGCTGCTGTCAGGTTCCCTCGACCAGGCTCTGGCACCAGATGCCAAGAGCAGCGCATCATGACTGGCGGGATTCACACCCCCAAGAGAGCCGCCCTCTTCTCTCCCCAGTAGTGTCTACTTACTCAGCTTGACAGAAACACTTATTCATATACATCATGCCGATCAGCTACATAATCTACGATCTCTTGAGGACACATCAGCTTCTCTGCTTCATGATCAGGGATTTCAAAACCTGGAAAAGATGCGACCCTTTTAGTCCAGAGGTTATGTTTCACTCAAAAGGGAAGACGCCACATGACAGACCTTAAAAGGCTTTTGGCTCTGATGGAAGGCAACAGTACTGGGAAACAGGACAACCTTGCCAGGGTCCCTGGGGGGCGGGGTGTGTGTGTGTGAAGGGAATGTATGCCTTACAAAACAGTTGTGTCAAGCACACGGCTTGTCATGGGATCCTGCTGGAGTATCAGGAAAAGATGGGGGTGCCAAGGTGAGCATTACAAGGGAAGATGCAAGAATGATCTCATTTGATTCAGATGATTCTGAGTTATGTGTATGAAATCAACCAGGACTAGACAAACCCACCCAGGACTCAAGAACGAGACTACTTAGACCTTGCAAGTCACAGACACACCTTGAGATTTTCAATGTACACCAAAGCAGGAGAAAGTCACTTTACCAAATTCGTCTTCCATGGCCATGATGATCTCCACTTGGTCCAAGCTATCCAAGCCCAGATCTTTCATAAAGTGGGAATTTACTGTGAGCTAGAAAGGGAAGGGAGATCTCCTTATACTGTAGAACAAGCAGCCTTCAAGAGAAGCAGAGCGTGACTTCAGGAAATGCTAAAGAGTCATTCAAGCGCGGCCACCGGGCCCCTGCCCCTCCCCCCTGCCAGGGACAGCTCTCTCCCCCTAGGCAAGAGAAGCACAGACAGAGAGAGAGACCGAGGGGGTTCCTTGACCCAACAGCTCCTATTCTTATTCATTCAGTGGAGTGAACAGAAACGACACAACGAAGGTGTCGCTGGCGTTTCAGCCACCACTGTCACAGGACCCAGCTGCATTTCCAATACTGCATATCCATCTATTTTAAGCGAAAGCTGGCCTCCTGCTCTTTGTTTCGTCTGTTTCTTATTCCTCTCTAGATGCTCCAGAAACGTGTTAGGCCCAAGAATTAAACACCTCCTCTTTGCCTGCGCTTGCGGTTACAGTGGGAGCCAGAATCCAGGACAATAGAGTTGTACTCAAAGGTTTGGGATCTGCTTTAACACCAAGTTCTTCTGTTTCTAAACCGCACACACACATGATGCTCCCGAAATCCCAGGAACAGAAAGCCACCGCTTACCTTTTCTGGATCTATCTTATCGTACAATTTCAAAACGTAGAGCACCCGTTCCTTGATGCTATCCAAGCTCAGAGGTTCCCCCGAAGAATGACGAACAAACTGCAGGAAAGTACCAGAGACCTGCGGGAGAAGCAAAGGAACCCTTGGCAGGAGGTGGAAACGTTCCCACCTGAACCTCTTTGTTTTCTACCAAAGCTTTCCCCAAAGGAGGGCCAAGCGGGGGGACCGAAGGGGCCTTTGCAGCCTGGACGAAGGAAGCAGCCTCTCCAGGGCAGCCCAGCCCTCAAAGCAAAGGCGCCTCCAGGAAGGGAGGGAGGGACGGAGGGAAGGGGCCCCCCACGGCCAGGGGACCCCTTCTTCTGTCCCTGTGTGTGCTGGGGTGCCAGCCAGGGCCTCTCTTGGCAAACAAGCCCTTCCCACCGACAACAGGAGCAGCCCTTCCACCCTCCTCGACAGGAAAGGGCGCTTTCAGGGGTCCAGCGGGGGCACCCACACATCCCTCCCCAGCTGCATTTGGGGGGGGTTTCCCTGGTTTTAATCTACTCATTCATTTAGGGGCTTCCACTGGGGGCGAGGAAGGTGGGAAACTGGGGGAGCAGGCGCCTCCCCCTCCCCCTCCGGCCTTT